GCGAGGGTAGGGGTGTGGGGGGAGGAGACACGGCCCAGTCTGGCCCCCCCCCGCGTCTCCAGCCTGGGTCAGCCCACCCAGCACTGCCAGTCCCCGGCTGAGCACCCCCGGCCCGCCCAGCACTGCCGGTCCCCGGGCCCCCAGCCGAGCACCCCGGCCCCCGTGGGCCCGGCCCGGCCGACCGCCGGTCCCCGAGCCCCCGGCCCGGCCCCGCCGACCCCCCGGCCCCCGAGCCCCCGGCCCGGTACCGCCGGCCCCCATGTCCCAATTTTCCCGGACATGTCCGGCTTTTTGGGATTTCCCCCTGGACGGGGATTTGGAGCCCAAAAAGCCGGACATGTCCAGGAAAATCCGGACGTATGGTAACCCTAACCAGTGTACATTGACAAAGAGCGCCCCCCCCCCCATCAGCTCCCCACCCACCCCCGCTCCCAGCGCCTCCCACCTACCGGTAGCCGATCAGCATCTCCCGCTCCCACCCCCACCTCCCGATGAACTGTTTTGTGACATGCAGGAGGCTCTGGGAAGGAGCGAGGACACTGCAGGCTGAGGGGAGGGGACGGGGCCTGTGGAAGAGCCAGGGGTTGAGCAGTGAGCACCCCCCAGCACATTGGAAAGTTGGCACCTGTAGCTCCAGCCCCAGAGTCGGTGCCTATAGAAGGAGCCACATATTAACTTCTGAAGAGCCGCATGTGGCTCCGGAGCCATAGATTGGCCACCCGTGGCCTAAGTAATAGCAAGATTCTCCCTCAGACAATCACTAGTTAACTTTTTAAATCCAGATTTTATTAACAAAAATCCTTGTGATTTAAATAAACAAACATCAGCTGTGTGCAGTAGATCGTTCTGTACAGATGCATAGCCACATCGCGCAGAGTGACAGCTCCAGCACAAACGGACTGGTCAACGTATATATAAATCTGTGCAACAGAGGTAGTGTTTACGCCCCAGGGTGGACCGCTTGAAATAGCCTGGGTCAAGAAAGTGGCAGGAATATTATCTGATATGGGAAGGGCTGTCAACCTAGGATTTGCACAGTCACAGGAGGACGCATTTGAATTACAAAATGGCATTTAATTCAAAGAACATTCTTTAGAGAAGTCTGTATCCATTATACTTCATGAAGATTCTTCACTTTCTTCGTTCTGCAGCAATGCTTTTCACACACTTTGATGAGCTCCGACACAATAAAAACCGAAGACGAGAGGCCAGTGAGAAACAACAGATCTGCCCAGGAGTGAGGGAAGAAAGAAAGGGGAACACAATGGGTCAACTGCATTTTTGTGCTGGGCAAGAGTATTCAGATAAGGCCCTGTCTACATTAGAGAAATCTGCACCGATGTAACTACATTGATCTACAGCTGAGCCCTGATCTTATGAGCACCGATCTTATAAACAACCAGTTATATGACCCATCTTTTGGCTGCCAAATGTGACTTCGATCCTTCAGTTAATGGTCAAGCGGCTGTACAGTTTGAAAAGGCTGAGGGATTTGGCAGCAAAGAAGAGATGCAGCTCTCTCAAACAAAGAGAAATCAGGCACACTGTATCATTCATTACCAGTCGTTATGTACACTATCACTGAATAATTAAAAATTAACTCAGGGACTGGCCCTGCTGTAATTTGGACATGTTCCGTTTTATGAACTTTTGGATTTTATGAACTCCTCACTCCCCAGTCAGTTCATAAAATAGGAGTTCTGCTATAGTAACAGTAGCACGACCATCTATGCACCAGTGTGAAGGAGGCTTTGCATTGCTATGACTTAGTCTGGTAGTAAAACACACCCACATAAACCTTGCTTGACACAGGTGCATTAGGGGTTTGCACTGCTGTCAGGATTCAAGATAGCTCCAGCAGCACAAATTTCTCTAGTGGAGACTGAGGTTAGTCTACAAAGCTGTGTGAAGAACTTGACGTGTCTAGACATGAAAACATGAACACAACCACTCAGATATTTTGTCTGGAATGTGAGGGGAGTTGGATAAGGGCGTGAACATAAACATTTATAACCTATGCAACCAGAAATAAGAACAGTCAAATCAAACTGATAGCCTGGAGGGAAGAACCTTCCTCCTCCCCAGCAATGTGCAACATAACACAACTGGCTGTTTCCCCACCTCCTTCTGAGTCATCACATAACGAGAGCTGCACGAGATGCCACAGAGGTCTAATCTGATCTGGTAAATCTCATATTCCTCTTAAATAGCTTAAAACCACAAGATTATTGCTCTTTCCCTAATAACTTACCTAATGCGCCTAAATTCTCTGTTAGGAAGATCTTTTGTAAAGGCGGGATGTAAATGACAGCCATCTGCCCCAACAGTGACCCCAGCACAGAATATAAGAACATGCGGTTTCGGAAAAAGCCTATCTCAAAGATCAACTTTGTCTGGGGAAAAAAAAAATGAAATGTCAAATCTTTCAGCCTCTTGTTTGTATGTGAATCTGCACGTTTGTCAGTCTGCCTGTCCAACAGCCAACATCAATAGCCCGTTAACGAATTAAAGTTATGTGTATGCTAACTCAGGCAAGCGTAACTTGGTTGTAAATTGGTTAATCGTTACTGTTGTTATAAAACCTAGTTGGTTAATAAGATAAAACCTGAACTTTTTTCAGTTACAATGAAGAAAACGTGCCACTTCCTGTTCAGAATATTTGGATTACTACTAATGTGAAGCATACATTTAAGCTGCTATTTAAAGACAATGCTGACACGGCCATCGTCTGTCTCACCTGAGAACGACATGTCAGGGCATTGAAGAGGTCAAAGAACACAAAACAAGTAAAAGTCATTGTTGTGGTCCTGGGAGTTGTGCCACTTTCAGGAATCTGGAAACACATGTAAAATTCAAGGTTTTATAAAAGCGTGTTAACACAGCACTTTAATTTAATAATAGCCACCTTTGTTTAAAAAGAAGTCACGGTCAACTTGAAGTCTAATCCAAGTTATAAAGAGAGAGATAACAGTAGTTCCAGGCACTGCAGCTAGCACCAACCTCAAATTTCAATGACTGCTACCTAAATACCACTGAGGAATTGGGCCTAACTCCCCACTGTCAGTATTTATGTTTTACAATCAAATCTTCAAATATTTTAAAATCTTTGGCCAGTGGTGAATTTAGCCAAAAGACTTTTAGAGAATTTATTTTCACGTTATGTCTAATTAGCAATAATTATTGATGTACTACTATACAGATAAAATGTATTCCAAATCCAGTATCATAATAGAGGTCTCTCATTTAGGGGTCAAGTGCTGTAATTTTAAGTTACTCAGTAATTTGATTAACCTAATATTACTGAACCTGGGCATCAGGATCAGTTTGTACCCTGACATTTCCCTTCAAATGAATAATTACTGATACTTGTGTGGTTTATGGTGATTTTACTCGGGTACAAATACTCCAGTGAAGGACCCAATTGCAAAGGTTTGCAAACAAAAATAGAGATTACATTGTAGCTGAATTTTGTGGGATAAAAAGTCAGAAGCTAAAACCCTGCAGCCAAATGTACTCCTTGAAATACCTAATAATAGTATTTGTAGTACCTGACACATACATAGTACTTTTAATCTCTAGACCTCAATGAACTTTTGAAGGGAGGTTAAGCATTCTTATCCTCATAGTATAGGTGGGAAACTCAGATACTGAAAGTGAAGAGACTGCACAACAAGTTAGTAGCACAGCCAAGTTTCTTGACACGTCGTTCCGAGTCCTCTCCACTGGACATTCTTCCTTCTGAGAAAATTGTCCTTAAAACGTGATGAATTGTGCTCCATGCCAGTGCAAACAAGATGGGATTAAATATTTATCTCACCTCTTTCCAAAAGACAAAGAGGGTCCCACTGATGATAATTATAGCAGACATAAAGATTTTCAGGATCAACGCTCTGCTGAGAATTGTATCCGTAATATTTCGAGGGGGTTGTTTGATGGCATCTTTGTCAACTGGTTCAACTCCCAGGCTGTCATCAAACAAAACAACAGGTAACATGTTTAGCAGATACAGATCTGTTACGTGTTCTAAAACTTTAATGCTGGTGCAAGGAAACAGACAGAGCCCAGGAGGCTGAAATCTTTTGCTTCGTCGCTGAAGGTGCAAAGCACGAGAAACATTAGTGCTAGCTCCTCTATGGTGTCATCATGCCCCAAGCCTGTTCGGGATGGGTGGGGCGAACGTAGGGGTGTCTGGTAAGGAGTTACTGATTTGTGCCCCAACGTGTTATTTATGTATTCGACTTGTAAGATATTGTGCTGGATTAACAGAGGGGAGCTGACAATTTCTATACACCATCCCACAGGTAGATTCAGTCACAAGACCAGTGATTACAAGACATTAAGGCTTTCTTTCAACTGCTACATAAAAATATTTTGTTTTTAAAAAGGTGCTGAGTGCTATATTACTGGACACAGGTTGCCGAAGGCAAGAAACCCAGATGACCAAAACCCAGCTGGACCTGCGTGTGATAGGCGGTGGGTTCACACAGGGTAGTGGATCCACTCCCAGTCTATGGGTGGAAGAATTTGGAGATTCCACCCCAAGAGGCCCAGCACCTGACCATGACAACTTTTGTTAACAAAGCCTTGTTAATGCCTTTCAAGTCAATGGAGTTGCATCACTTTTCTCCAAGGCTAATTTTGGCTCATTGTGTAATTTCATTACCTTTGAGCTGGGGGTCCATCCATTATAATGTTGATCCACAAGATCTGCATGGCGTTGAGTGGATTTGGTAAATTGAACACGGTCGACAGAGTGATTAAGCTCAATGCTGAAATGCTCCTGCAAAGGAGACGGAGCAGGAACAACACAACATTACTTCGTCCAGCCGAGCCAAAAAGCTGCCCATCGCTGGCGCTTCAGCAAGTGTGTACTTACGTGCTAAGCTGAAACCGGACAAAATTTTTTATATTGTAAAATATTCCCTTTCCCTCCTCTATGGCATTCCTGGAAAGGAGAGAGGTGGTAAATTATAAACTGATGGGTATTCATGATATTTCACATCTAACCTAGTAATCACCTAAGTAATTTTATAGACAAGAGAACAGCCTCTTAGTTTATATTCTCCCCTTCCCTTTCATTTCAATGGAAGTCCAATACCAGGTTAGGACAACTCTAACATGCCGGGGTATCCATACAACCATTTGATTAAAGGGATGCTGTCAGAACTAGGAAGCCTGAGATGAGATCTGTCCATTCTGTTTTGGTACATGGACATAAGTGTACATGAGGTATATGTCATTCTGACCACTGTGCCTGCTGGCTCTGTCCTTGTGAACCGCAGGGCATTACAAGTTACAGGAGTCCTTTCTATAAGCTTCCTGGGTGAGGCAGGCAGAATGGAGCGAGATATGGTGGACAAATCCTCCATATGTGCCTCCAAAGACACAATGGGCTAGACCTGCAGTGGGTGTAAATTAGCATAACTCCACAGATTGCATGCAGATTTGCACCAGCTGAGGATCTGGCCTTTGACATATTTTCAATGCTAGTCACATAGAAACTCATTGCATTCAATGTCAAGAAAGTATCTGAAGCGCAACCTACATTATAGTTGAGAAGTCATCGTCCACCAGTATCATGTTGGCAGCCTCCTTGCTGACATCTGTGCCTGCTTGTCCCATTGCCACCCCAATATCAGCAGATTTTAGGGCCACTGCATCATTGACCCCATCCCCTGTCATTCCCACAATGGCACCGGTGCCTTGCAAAGCCTGTGGAAATGGAGAGATGAATAAATTCAATGCCACCAGGATGGGCTCTTCAAAATAAATGTGCAGCAGTTACAATGTTTGTAATTTATATTCCATTGCAGAAGAAGAGTTGCACATCTCGGATGGGAATATGGACTTTAGCAGCCCAGAGGTGCACAAAGTACTACGGGTAGTGCACAGAGAAACAACTGAGATATTCTACTCAGTTAGGGGCTGGATTCCAGAAGTGCACAGCCCCCATTATTTCAGCTCACATCAACAGGAGCAGTGGATACTTCCACTCTCGTAGATATTAAGTTGCCCATGTAATCATAGCTCTATTGTATTGACTCCTCTTTCAAAGAGCCCAGTCCTATTCAGCAGGAGACCTGCCAATGACATGGGCGGGAACAGGATCGGTGCCCTAGTTTGGGTTTCCATTTCATATAACAGTGTTGGGAGGCAATCAGTACCTTTATGATTTTTAGCTTGTGCTTTGGACTTGTTCTGAAGAAAACAGAAACCTGGACGATGAAGAGGAAAAAAGGGTGAAAAAAAGCTATCAGACTCATGCTATTTTAAGTGGAATCCTACAGCACTATTGGAAACAGTTTAAAAAGCATTACATTTTTGACTGCAGACGATAACTCTGACTCTGCCACATGGTCCAGTTCTTCCCCAGACATGGCTTTCAGTTTCCCATTACTGAGTCCAATACTCCGTCCTGCACAGAAAACCCAACATAAGAGCAGTCCATTATCACCAGGAGTGGCTAATTATTTTCTGATTTGAAACAAAAGACCCCGTTTAAGAGGATCACAGAAAATGACTATGAGCTGGTGTCACCTACGGAGGCATGGGAAAAAAATTTCTCTTTTGAGGTCTCTAATGCGTCAATCATGCATTTCTTACTCATTGAGAATTTTGCATGAGTGCAGAGTTAGATGAACAGAACTGGGTACAATATTAAGGTGCATTTCCACAGAGGGTAATTTAGTTTTGCAGGGGAATAACCTTCGGAGAGAACAGGATACTTCATGTGTTTCCATTTGCAGGGACTCCGTCTAATCATTTTCTTTGGGTGAAAACAAGGCAGCATTTCAACGCCTCTGCCATGGACTTTGCAATGGATTCATCTCCTGAACAGACGGTAAGCAGAACAGCATCACACTGGGCCAGACCCTCAGCTGCCGTCAATCAGCACATTTCCAGTGACGATAGTTAGAGCAATGAAAATTGACCCCATCTGAGGATTTGTTGTTCCAGTTTCTGCTGCTTGCATGATTTATTTCTAACAGCGATTTGAAAACCCTAAATGGAATAACTGGATATACAGAGATGTTTGCATGTGATATTAAAAGAGACATGAATCCCAGCGAGGACATTTTTCTCATCTGTTTAAGGGTATCAGCAGTAACTTTACATTGCTGCTACAGTGGATTTTATATTGCTGGAAATGGATCCATACTGCTTTTGTAATTAGATCACTACAGTTAACTAGATTTGTTTCGGCGGACCAGCAAAATGACCTCATCACACATTAAGTGGTGGGGACATTTGTGTGGCTTGTTGGAAAAGGTGTGTTGGCCCTTTAAGGGTGGCTAGAGAGCCGGTTACCTGCTACATTGGGGTGGCCAACCTGTGGCTCCGGAGCCACATGTGGCTCTTCAGAGGTTAATATGCGGCTCCTTGTACAGGCACCGACTCCGGGGCTGGAGCTACAGGCGCCAACTTTCCAGTGTGCCGGGGGGTGCTCACTGCTCAACCCCTGGCTCTGCCACAGGCCCTGTCCCCACTCCATCTCTTCCCACCCCCTCCCCTCGAGCCTGCCATGCTCTCGCTCCCCCCCAGACGCCTCCTGCACGCCACGAAACAGGTGATCGGGAGGTGCGGGTGGTGTGTGTGTGTGTGTGTGTGTGTGTGTGTGTGTGTGTGTGTGTGTGTGTGTGCTGACTGACGGGACTGCAGGTGGGTGGGAGGCACTGGGAGTGTGGGAGGGAGCTGATGGGGGGCTGCTGACATATTACTGTGGCTCTTTGGCAATGTACATTGGTAAATTCTGGCTCCTTCTCAGGCTCAGGTTGGCCACCCCTGTGCTACATGAAGGCAGCTCCATACCAGGTCAGCACGGGGGTGCTAGCCCATGCTCCCCACCAGGTGACTGGAAGAGAAGGAGACTATTTATGCCCACATATGATCAGTACAAGACCTAGGTCAGGCCGAGCAGCACCCACCCTCCCACCCATGGAAGTACTTGAAATACCAGGTTGTCACAACCTGCTGTGGGGGCATTATGCTAGTCATTCTTTTCTTGGGGGACTGGGGAGGAATTTTTCCATCATTGCCAGATTGGCTAAGGGGAGGTGGGTTTCTTTGCTGTCCCAACAGTGGGCTGGGGGTTTAGTGGGGAACACCGAATGAAAGGGGGGTTAGACTATGATATCACCACTCATTATGTAAGCTTTGGGCAGATGTCCAGTGCAAGTATTCCGATGGGAATGGATACAATGATCTGATCAAATGGATTGGAAAAGGATTTAAAGGAGGTTTTCTTTAAAGGAGTGGAAACAATGGGAGTTCAAGGCTTCTAGGACTGGTACAGCAAGGAGCCAACACTGTCCTTCTTTATAGCCCCCGCGCCCTTTATCTCTTGTTCAAGAGGGGTGAGGTCCCAGCAGCAGGCTGGTTGGGGACCAGGATGGGTACAGGGGAGAGCTGCCAGCAGCCCCCAGGTATATGTAAATGATCATGGAATTATCTGCACTGTACAATTTTATCTGCCGGGTACTCCCAGACATTTAGGAATAAAGCTGCAACCTAATTCAATCACACCCAGTGTCTCCTGTCCTTCCGACCAGGGCCGGCTTTAAGCCAATTCCCCTGATTCCCCGGAATGGGGCCCCGCGCCTAAGAGGGCCCCGCACCTTAGGTGTCTTTTACATTTTTTTTTCTTTTTACTCACCCGGCGGCGGGGGTAGGGGTAGGGTCCGCTCCAGCCTTCGGCGGCATTTCGGCAGCGGGGGAGGGGCCGCTCTGGGGCTTCAGCAGCATTTCAGTGGCGGGGGGTCCTTCGGTGCCACGGAAGACCCAGAGCGGACCCCCTGCTGCCCAAGTGCCGCCGAAGCCTAGGACCGCCACCGGGTATTCAAATCGGGCCCCACCCTTCATAAAGCCGGTCCTGCTTCCGACATAGCCAGACAAAGTGCACTACTGTATAATGTCACATCTGGAACTCAAGGAATCTACTGCAGCAAATCATTAGTGATCTGGATGATGGGATGGATTCCGCCCTCAGCAAGTTCATGGATGACACTAAGCTGGAGGAAAGGTAGATATGCTGGAGGGTAGGGATAGGGTCCAGAGTGACCTAGACAAATTGGAGGATTGGGCCAAAAGAAATCTGATGAGGTTCAGTGAGGACAAGTGCAGAGTCCTGCACTTAGGACGGAAGAATCTCATGCATTTCTACAGGCTGGGGACTGACTGGCTAAGTGGCAGTTCTGCCGAAAAGGACCTGAGGATTACAGTGGATGAGAAGCTGAATATGAGTCAACAGTGTGCCCTTGTTGCCAAGAAGGCTAACGGCATATTGGGCTGCATTAGTAGGAGCATTGCCAGCAGATCGAGGGAAGTGATTATTCCCCTCTATTCGACATTGGTGAGCCCATATCGGGAGTATTGTGTCCAGTTTTGGCCCTCCCACTACAGAAAGGATGTGGACAAATTGGAGAGAGTCCAACGGAGGGAAATGAAAATTATTGGGGGGCTGGGGCACATGACTTATGAGGAGAGGCTGAGGGAACTAGGCTTATTTAGTCTGCAGAAAAGAAGAGTGAGGGGGAATTTGATAGCAGCCTTCAACTACCTGAAGGGGGGTCCAAAGAGGATGGAGCTCAGTTGTTCTCAATGGTGGCAGATGACAGAACAAGGAGCAATGGTCTCAAGTTGCAGTGGGAGAAGTCTATGTTGGATATTAGGAAACACTATTTCACTAGCAGGATGGTGAAGCACTGGAATGGGTTACCTAGGGAGGTGGTGGAATCTCCATCCTTAGAAGTTTTTAAGGCCCGGCTTGACAAAGCCTTGGCTGGGATGACTTAGTTGGGGTTGGTCCTGCTTTGAGCAGGGGGTTGGGGTAGATGACCTCCTGAGGTCTCTTCCAACCCTAATCTTCTATGATTCTATGAAATGAAAAGAAAGGTAAATGGGCTAAATTTATCTTATGAAGTTCAATAAAATACATAAGATTTGGTGTTGGTCTGACAGACAGACAATGCAAAATGTGGGGAAATAGCTAATTGTTACCGATAGCCATGGCAGTTTCCAAGGCATCTCCAGTTATCATCTTCACAGATACACCAGACTCAAAGAGGAGTTGAACGGCTTCTTTAACTCCAGCTCTTGGTGGGTCAATTATTCCAACCAGCCCTAAAAATGTTAGTCTGCCAAGTTCTGGACCTGAAGCCAGAGCAAGTACTAAAGAAAGAGAGAGAGAGAGAGAGAGAGAGAGAGAGGAGGGAGG